AGCGTGTAGGGGATGTTTCAGGGGAAGCAGCTCTGAGGACGTGAGCTAGAGGAGCGAAGTGGGCTGTGCGCGGCTGTGAGGCTGGGTGTCCCAGGCAGAGAGAACAGCAAGCGTGCACCGGCGGACTGAGCGGAGCGCGCGAGTACACTGCAGGCCCAGGGTGGCTGCGATGGGCTGAGAGACGGCGGGCAGAAGCAGCGGGCAGACAGGCAACGACCAGCATTTCAGGCTTCACTCTGAGGACAAGGGGACGCTCTCAGGACACTCTGGGCCGGGGAGGGTCACCTGGGAACGGACTCCGAGGTGGAGCTCTACATGCTGGGGACTTACTGTCCCGTGACTGTGAGCGGGTGAGAGAAGCAGGCCTGGGTAGAGGCAGACGCGTGTTCACTTAGCGGACACGTCGGCGGGTCCTGCTGGAAGCTGTGGGGTTGGGATGGCCCTTCAGCGTGTTCCAAACGGAGGCGAAGGCCTGGACCCTGTACGCCGGCGTCAGTTGCTGTCTCCCAAGGCGGGCTATGAAGTCTGTGCGAGGCAGCTCCCTTGCGGGCGATGCTTGAAGAGGTTTGCGCCTGTGGTCCCCCCGCGGTCACCCCCGTAGCATCGGGGCAGCGGCAGCTCAGTGACACCGGAACGGTCGCCCCTGGAGACACCATCTCTGCGGCACACCTCAGGGTTACTACGGATCTGTTCGTGTTTTAATTCTCGTAACAATTCCCCAACTTGGGCATTTCTGTGTCCTTTCTGGGACTCACGGAGTTTAAGAAACTTATTCAAGGTCACACATCTAGCAGATGTTGGATCTGAATTTAGGTCCCTCTGAGTTCAGAGAACATGTACTTTAAAAAAATGTGGTAAAAATACATGGCATAAAACTGATCATTTTAGCCGTTTAAAAATGTGCAGTTTTTAAATGTGCAATTTGAAAAGTGGCATTTAGTACATTAATATTATATAACCATTACCACCATCCATCTCTAGAAGTCTTTCCATCGTGCAAAACTGAAGCTCTAACAATAAGATACTATAACAATGATATTGATATTAAGCCATTACTTCCCATTTTTCTCTCTCCAGCCCCTGGAAACCATTCTACTTCCTGCTCTGTGAATTTGACTATTCAAAGTACCTCATGTATATAGAATCAACACAATATTTTTCATTTTGTGACTAGCTTACTTATCATAGAGATTTCAAATTTCATGCATGTTGTAACATGTCAGAATTTCCTTCTTTTTTCAGCCTGAAAACACTCCTACGTCTGTATCTACTACATTTTGTCTATCCATTCTTCCGTTGATAGGCATATGTGTTGTTTCCACTTCCTGGCTATTGTGAATAATGCTAGGAATACTGGTAAACAAATACCTATTTGAACTCCTGCTTTCAATTCTTTTGAGTATATACCTAGAAGTGGATTTGCTAGATCATATGGTAATTCTATTTTTAATTTTTTGAGGTACTGCCATACTGTTTCTCACAGTGGTTGCACCATTTTACATTCCCAACAGCATTGCCCAAGAGTTCTAATTTCTTCACATCCCCACCAGCACTTTTCTTTCCTTCTCTTTGCGTTCCCTCCCTCACTCCCTTCTTCCTCCTTCCTTTCCTTTCTTCCTTCTTCTTTCTTTTTGTTCTCTCTGATATAGCCATCCTAATAGGTGTACAGTGGTATCTCATTGCGGTTCGAAGACCCTGGCAACTTTTCAAGCTGTCTTGCTGTCCCTCAGCCAGAAAGGAACTCAAGATGGCCAGCATGCATCCAACTCCACCATTCCATTTGTGGGTGGAAATGGTGACAGAACCAGGTTAAGACCCAAACTCAGTAAACTGCTCTGGATTAACAGTGAGCTGCAGCAGAACACATTCTGAATCACCCGGACACCTAAAGAACAATACAAAATCTGGCACTTTATAAGAGTTAAAGTCTTTGCTCAAAGACCCTGAAATAGTACATAAAACTATGCTCTTCTTTGCAAATTTAAAATTTGATATTTATAATTTTATCATAATTTAAACAGGTGCAAAGAATATAATTTGTAGCATATTGTAAACATTGACATTTTAAAATTAAATGGTTACATCAGTTTTAAATGTATCCAAATGGAATTTAAATCTTATAATAGTTTGCTATCCACTATCATCCATTTAAGAAATACACCCACAAGCTTCTCTTTAGCAAGCAAAAACTATATGTAACTTCCTGCCTTCCCTCTATTTCTGCCATGCCTTCTATGTTTGAAATTTTATTGCCATTCTACTTCCTCTTCAACATTTTATGCTAGTGTAATGTTTATGATTGAACATCTTTTACTGAATATCCCATTATATTTTAAATCTATCAAACATTTGTATAAAAGTTAAAATTTATACATTTTAAAAATTCCTGTAACCATAGGGTCTAAATGATTTCTGGATTAAGTTATCATTACAATGACTAGTATTACACAATTGTTCAAAACAACCTAAATGAATAGAATATTTTGATAAACACTAACATGAAAATTAAAGTCTTATTGGAAGCTTGCACTTCTTAATAGGTGATGTTGTCCTTTTTTAAACACTGTATGTAGTATGGATAAATATTACTTATCACTAGAAAGATAAAGTGTTTAGCATCCATTTTATTTTTCATTTTTTAGAGATGGAAAGGCCTTGTTCTTAAAGAGATGGAGTTTTGTTATATAAATGTCCTCCAAATTTTGAAACTCCTGATTTTTTGCCCCAAATCACATGGTAATCCATTATCAAATGACAGTTTTAATGACCTGATGTCTTCACAATTTTTTCCTTCAGTTTTTTCTGAAAGCAAGGTATTGAAAACCACCTGACTTGCAGAAGATTTGTTACTCAGTTTCTATGGGTTGAGCTGTGTACCCACCAAAGTTCACATGTTGAAATCCCAACCACTGGTACCGCCAAGGGTGATTATGTTTGGAAACAATGTTGTTGCAGATACAAGTAGTTAAGGTGAGGTCCTGAACTGGACCCTAATCCACTAGGACTGGTGCCTTATAAAAAGGGGAAACCAGGACACAGAGACAGAGGGAGGAGGGTGTAAAGACACTGGGGAGAAGCCGGCAGGCCGCCAACCAAGTCGAAAGGCCTGCAAGATGACCTTTTCTCGCAGCCCTGAGTAGGAAGGATCCCTGTCCAGATTTTGGGTTTACCTTTCTGTTGTTCGTACCACTGGTTTGTGGGACTTTGTCACAGCGAGGCTAACAAACTGATACAGAGTTCCTAGACCCATTCACCTCCCCTACACTTAAACCAACACCAACATTTTCACTTTTTCCTTTCCTGGGGCAGTAGGTTAAACTCAAGAGCAAAGAACACTAGAGAGACTGGTAATAGTGAGGGGGCCCCCTTTCTCTTATAAACTGAGGGATGGACCGTTGTAAGAAGTGAGGCAGGGCTATTTAATAAAAAGCACATACTGGATTTCAGATCTGTAGGTTGTCTTCTTCAAAATACTCTTGTCCAAAAGCTTCTTTGGAAAGCCTTACTCAGCCCCAGAGGAGTAAGTGTACCTACTTTGAAGATGACTGTGCTGAACTGTAGAAGATCTACTGAAATTCAGGGATGTGGAAAACCTTTTGTCAGCCGGAGGTGCTGATGACATTTTCACGAAGGATAGGACATCTGCTGGCCTTGTGCGTAGAAGTTTGATTTGTAGAAAGGAGAAGGAAGGGCATTCTAGCCAGAGTGGACGCAACTGGGGAATGGACTCCTAACTAAGCCAACGACTCAGTCGGGTGGGCCCAGCCTACACAGGACCTGTACTTATGGGTCTAGGAGCTTGTTGTTAGGCAATGGAGACTTTTACGTGAGCAAGTGACGTGATGAAAGTGATGCTTAGGAAGATTAGTTGGGCGTCAACACAGAGGATGGGAGGCTGTTTGCAGAATTTGGGAAGCAGGAAGCCATCCAAAGGTGTGGTCACTAATGAGTGGATCAGTGTAACGGCTTTGGAGATGGAGAGGCAGCTGCTTGTTGGTTGTGATGGACACAGAAATCGCAGGCCTGTATTATAGTCAAATTGTGTGCCAACTGCTCAATGGCCTTCTTTGCAGGTGGGCCGCTAAGTCCCAGAAGTAACTCTGCCTTGCCTGGGCTTCTGCCATGCCTCCTGTGTTAATGTCCAGAAAGACACTATGCTTTTCTGTTGGTCAAGTAGAGGTAGAATAGGGCTGACACTTCTCCGTTGTTTGGCTGATCCTTTCATGTAAGCACAGAATGAGCAAATGGATGGGGAACCACTTGGTTAAGCACAAAGTAGATGGGGAGACAAGACTCTTCATTCCTCATTACTCTATTGTGGCTCACTACTCTTCCTTAGAGAGAGTGGAGAGGTTTCTGAGTGCCTCATTCACAGTAGCTTTGAGGAACTGAAACCCAGGTAATAGAGGCCCCGTTGTGCGCTGCCTGAGAACTTGACCGGACTCACATCCCTTTCCAAAGTGGGAAGGTGCTCCCAGACCCCCCGCTGAGCCCCTGGGGGAGAAGAGCCCCTCTTCACATTCCGCCTGGTCCTCTGAGGTGTCTGGCCTCCTGCCCAAACACACCTCAGAGGACTGTTCATTTTCAGTCAGAACCGTAAGCCTTCCTGATTGTGTAGCAATGGAAACAAAGCTTTTCTATGCTCTGAAAAGCAAATATTTTTTACGGCCACATGCTCTTCTCACTCCCCAGTCGAAGCTGGGAAGAACGCAGAGCATTAAAACAATCCAGACACATAGCTTTCTTTTTTTCTCCCTTGCATTAGAGACTCCTGTGTTTTTAAGACTCTGAGAGGATAAGACACTGGGCGGGAGGGGGGCGGTCTCTATCCTTAGAGCCATTCCTCTAAGTCACATTCACAGGACTGACCCGGAGGGTCACTGGGCCCTTTCAGTGTTCCTAAGCCCCAAACGACTCTCTTGGCTGTCATGGGAGAGTGACTTAGTGGCGCTGTGGCTGCTGACTCTACTAAGACTTACCATTTGGCATGTCTTCCAAGGATGGAAAGGAGATTATCAATCACATCTGAGTGAGTTTTCTTACCTGCATCGGCTCTCTCTCTTATTTATGCGTATCTTTATTTGTATGGCTGCAGTAAGAGCATATCTGATGCTAGAAAGATCACGTGCCAAGTGTCAATGGATTCCCTTGGCACAGATGGGATGATAAGCCCTCCTGGGGAGATGTCAACAGTCCCTATCATTGCCTGTGTGCTTCCCAGGTGCCAGGCACAGGGCCCAAGTGTTTTTACACATTAACTCATTTCCTCAACCACTTTATGGAGTGGAAGTATTAACACTCACATTTTACAGAGATAAAAATGGAAACCTAGATAGGTGAACTTACTTTCCTAAGGTCACAAAACAAGTCCGTCAGTGGTCGTGTCAGTCAGCATGAGTTAAACCAGGCTTTGTGACAAACAGCCCCCAAGTTGTAGTGGCTGACAGCAAGAAAGGTTTATCCTCACTCAGGCTCCATGTCTGTGGAAGGGCCTGGAGGCTCTGCTTCTCCTCACGCTGGGATTTGGGCAGACAGAGCTGCCCCTCCACCATGGGAGCTGCTGGTTATCACGGCAAATGGGAGAACAGAACATGGCGAAGTGCTTTCTGGGGACACATGTTCCTCCTGTTCATTTTGTTGGCCAGAGTCTGTCACACGGCCACTCCTATTGTCAACTGAGGGAGAAAGTTCAGTCTTACCCTCTGGGGAATTTCTGTGGGCAGAGGGAGAATCTGAGAAGAAAAATATTTTCTTAAGCCTGTGCTCTTTACCCTGTCATGAAAGCTGCCCCTCACTGAGCACCTCCTGGGGGCCAGGCACGGGGAGAGACTATGATTGCTGTCACTTCACAGTTCAAGGCACAGAAAGTCTTGAAGTAGCTTGAGTCAGATGGCACAGGGAGAAAAGCTGCTCTGTGCAGCATTCAGGTCAACCTGACTCCAAAGACTGCCATGAGGATGTCCAGTGCCATGCAGGTCACTAGTTTCACAAGAAAAAAGCCGTATACATTTTTAAAAGATTAAAACTTTAGTTAATCACATTTATTTTCCAATTAAACAGGTAGTGACTGCACATTGTTAAGATGCAGACAGTGCTTATAGGTTTGAAGAAAGTGAAAAATGACTAACAATCAAAACGTCAAGAGGGAACACCAACATTTTTTTAAACTAAATTAAAAAAAATTTTTTTTTTACCTAACGTATTAGACATGCCTTTCCAGAGGTGCTGACTTATAACTTACTTCTTCACTTAACAATGTATTGGGAACATCTTTCCAATAAATAAACTTCATTTTTAATGGTTGCATAATATTCTCTTGACTGTGCCACAATTTAATTAGAATTCCTTAATGATTTACAAAATAAATAACATTTACCTTTTTTTTAACGTATTGCTATTCTGTTGCTTTGAGTTCCATTTCTTTCCCAATAGTGGTATCTAAGAGCTTTTCTTATTTTTCTTAACCAATTCACGCTTTCACCTATGAGAAACACTGTGTAATGGTCAAAGCTCTTTAATCAAAGCCTTTTTCTCCCTCTTCCATAGGGACCCTCCCTGAAATGCTAATAATTTTTTGTTTTCCCTAGTGTCTCAAGACAGGGATTTTCCTTGGCATTTTTGTTTTCACATAATTTTTCTGAAATGCACATATAAACTGCTTTCCTTATTTTTCTTTTCTCTCTCTTCCTGTATATCCATACTTCTTATTTTATTTTACACTTGCATGTCCCTATTCTAGATCTCTTAAAATGCCTGTGACTGCTTTTGCCTCTACAGTGAGGCATTCACTGCCTTCCAGCTCTAGCCATGGTGCTCCCAAGTTCCCCCGTTCAGACCCACCACATCCCTACCCTCTGCAGGACCCTCCTGTACCGGGGCTGTTCTCTGGTCAGGGAACAGTCTTTCCTGTCATCTGGGGTTGGTCTGTTTATTCAAGAAGCCTTCTCTGGCCCCTTAGTCAAAACTAGTTGTCCTTTCTTCTGTGCTTCTCAGCGCTTTACTATTACTATTGCCACCACCATGTACTTATTCAGGAAAACATCTATTCAGCAGCTGTGGTAAGCTCTGGAGTGCTGGGGTAGATATTACAATACTATACTAAACCATACCGTACAATACAATAACCAGCCTTGGCATCCACCCTCTAGGAATCTGCCGCCCCCGGTGAGGTGGATGCGTGAACAGACGTCTCAGCCCTGCGTGGTGAAGGCTGAGATGGAGGAAGGTGCGAGGCGCCAGGGGAACAACAGGCCCCGCGGACACGGGTTGACTTTATTTGCAGCAAGTTTTCCCTTAATAAAAGTCAAGATCCTGAGGTAAGGGACCCATTTTCAAATTCGCCTTTGATCTGGCCAATCTGTTGATAGCAAGAGCCCGAGGTGGTGCCTTTAATAAAGGAATGGCACAGGTGCGATCGGGGGAACGGGCCAGTGGGTGGTCCCTGGGCGCCGGTCCAAGCCCAATACCCATCTCCCCGGACTCTGTACTTTTCACATCTTTCTTTCTCCGTGAAATGGACGCACGTTCCCCTCCGGATTTAGAGGTAACGACTCTTCCGCGAAAGCCTGGAAAATACGACTTCTCCACAAATGGTCTGGGTTGGGTATAGAGCTTCAGCTGTAGGACCTGCTGAGCCCTCACGGGGGGCGTTGGCTCCGAGACCCGACCGGGAGTTTTTCCCCGGTCCGGCTCGCCGGGCACCTCGGCCCGCCGAACACGTGCGCGATCCGGGAGCGGAGCCTCCGCGCACAGCGCGCCTCGCAGCCGGCGCCGCTTCTCCGGCTCTTCCCGCCGCCCCGCGCCTCCCCCACCTCCGCTGCGGCCGCGCCCCCCAGCCCGCTCCGCGCCGGCTCCGGCCCGGGTTTTCCCGGCCGCCCGCCGCCGCCGCCGCCGCGCTCGCCGAGCGGGGAGCTGGCGCCGGCGAGGCCGCCGCGGCCCGGGCGTGGGGGCAGCGCCGCGCAAGCGCGCCCGCGGGGGTGACGAGTCCCTGCGCCCGGCTCTGCGCGCCCGGGGGCTCTTGGGCAGCTGCCCCACCCGCCCCCGCCCCCGGGGACCGCCCGGTAACCGGAGCCCGTACGGGCGCGCCGGCGGGGACGCAGCTTCCCGACCGTGTCCTCCTGCCGCAGCTGGGAGGAGACATTCCTGCTCTCCCCGCCCGGCCCGCGCCCGTACCTCCCCCGCCGCGTGTTTTCCGCCCCAGGAGAGACCGTGCCACACAAATAAGCTTCGAATGCCCTTTCCCGAGCGGGCGGGAGGGCATCGAGCGCCGCGTCCGAGCGGGCCATTTTCAGGGCGCGTCTCCGGAGCCGCCAAAAGTCTTGTTTTCTCCCCAAAAGTGGAAGGTGTCGGGGGGCGGGGGCGGGCAAGAGGCCGCTTCCAACTGCTACACACGCTCGAATAGTTGTCAGTAAAATCAAACTGACGTCAGCCCCGGGGAAAAAGATAGGTCTCTTTTGTTCTTATGTTCTCCCCCACCCCCTCCCCTGCGATCAAAGGCAAAAAACATTTTTTTTGGAGGTGGGGGAAAGACAAAAAGGGGGGAAAAATTGCAAGGCAAAGAGATAGCTTCCATTAGAGCTCCAGCCCGGGCGAAGGGAATGTTTAATGAATGCATCAAGCCTTTTGATCACCCTCACTCGGTTGGGTTCAGTAGTGCCGGAAGGTTAGTTGCATATCCTGTGGCTGATCTGAAATTCGATCAGCAGAGGGGGCAAAGAAAAGAAAAGCATTTTAATGGGAATCGATAGAGGATCATAGGTCCTGGAAGGAAATACGTGTTGATTAAAAATGCCACAAGATTAAAAAATGTTCACGACCGGTTTAAAAAAAATAGAGGAGAGGGGGAGGAGGGGGAAAAAAAACCCTTAGCAATCTATTTTGTGTGTGTGCTGCTGCCAGAGAGGCAGTCAGCAGACCAACAGTTTGTGTAATGCTTCAAGCTACAGCAGGCAAATTTAAAGCTGTATGCGCAGAACAACATAATAAATACTTATCGAAAATGCATTTCTATTTCTAAGCGGGGTTCACTCATGCATTATAGAAAACACCTAGGGCTGCAGTGGCGAGACACAAGGGGACAAGTAAGGTGTGCTGTGACTCAAGTTCTTAAACTAAACTCTTGGGCTTTCAACAGTTGAGAGCTAGAGCATATATATTTGCTTTTTTTTTTTTTTTTCCTTCTTTAATTGAAACCAAACTAACAGCTTTGGAAGATACCATAGATTTAAATGGTCTGAAACGTAAAAAAAAAAAGTGATATATAAAAAAAATCTGATATTTGTGAATGTGAAGAGGAGGGTAGGGTGGAGAGTTAACTGTGGTAGATAGCATATTGATTGGTTGTGGAGTGGAAAATTATTGCCCTGTAGGTAGAGAGAGTGATCAACAATGTGATAAAAATGGTTGAAGGTTATATGGCTATTTACTTATTACTACAGTGGGAAATGGAAAAAGGCCTTTTAAACCCACTCTTTAACACAGAAACACAAGTATACACCCTATCTGCATGGCCTCTTGGAGAGGAATCAATAGCGTTTAAATGTTTACACTTTTAACGAAGTTCCTTCATTACTGGGAGGGAATTCAGCTGGCAGGGGTGGTGGCCCCTTTTCTAGATGATCTCTAGAGGCTCCTCAGCCAGCTGGGCATTCCAGTCTTCACCCCTTTCTCCTGTCTTTCTTGTTCTCACCCTGTCTTTCAGCCTCTCTAAAGAACAGGAAAAAGAGCAAGGAGGGTTTTCAGGACAATTTCCCTCGTGTATTTCCAATATTTATTGCAGTAGTTTGGATAGAGCAGGATCTATCAAAATTGAGATTTCTTTGTTCAGGCAACACCTTCTCTTACCTTAATGTGTTCTGGCTTCACTAGATGATAAAATGCTTGGAGGAAGGGCGTTTTTCTCCTTTCTCATTCATAACAGTGCTCCTGAGAACCAAACCTCACACCTAGGAACCAGTAGAGAGAGCTGAGTCAAGCTGAGAGTAGCAGATCACACACTGACCACACTCTGAAATCCATTCAAAAAGGAAGATGATTGCTGGGTAAGTTCAAACAAGTGACTTAGCTTCTCTGAGCTTTGGGTTCCTCATCTGTAAGATGAAGGATGCTTATCTCTACCCACCAGAGCTTTTGTGAATGACATAATATATATAAGCACTGTGAGATACTTATATATATGTATTTTTTATATAAATGTCTTCCTTCTCCTAAGATGCCCCCACCCAGGATGCCTCCTTTATTCATGCTCTTGTATAGTCTCTGCTGTGAATTTGAACTGCAGCTGAAGTGACACTTTCACTTTCACTGAAGGACTTTCAAGGCTGGATCCTAAGAATCTTGCATGCTTCCACACCTGGGTCTCTTGGAATGCTCCTTCTTGGGACACTCTCTTTTAGAACCCAGGTGCATTCTTCGAGAAGCATGTGGAGGCCAGGTCACCTGTAGTGTTCAGCTTGGTAACATGTAATTGCTCCCAGCAATGAGTTCCCAGACAGCAGATAACATCAACTGCCCACCAAGTGAGTTGGCTATCTTGGTAGTCCAGTTCTGTTGAACTTTCTGATAACTTCAGCCCCAGCTGCTTTCCTCCTGTAATTGCATGAATGACCTGAAGCAGAGAGTACCCAGCTGAGGCCAGTCAACCCACAGAACCCTGAGACATAATAAATAATAAGTGTATAAATGAACAAATGATGGCTTTTATTAATCTTAATTTTATAGTAGGTACTAAACCTGCCTGTTGTTGTAATTGAAATTGTTTTAAGTGAAATAAGCTAGGGGATTGACAGTCTCTTCCTTGCTCTTTCTCCTGCCCCTGGGTTATTCTTCACCACCCACAATACCATGTTAGCCCTTACTCCAAAAGGTTAAACCAGGTACTGGCAATATAAAGACAGAATTTTGTAAGCTCTTTTCTCTAGGGGCTTGGAGTCCAACTGGGAAGAGAGGATGCTTTTTCCAAGAAGGAGAAGCCATTTATGCACTGCTAGGTCCTGGCATAGCAATGAGTGTTGAACCATCTGTTGTTAAATGAAAATATTGTTTATTTTCTATAACATGTGCTTAGGAGGGGGGAAGCTCTCTAGGGTGTGAGCTGAGCTGGCCTTTGCTCATAGAAAAAAAATTTTTTTTTTTCTTCAGCTTCTTTCTTGTGTAGTTCTACCTTTCTTGGGATTTTCAGAATGCTAAGTTCAGGAGGCCAAATATTTTCTGATTTAGGCACCAAAATGAGCAGATCTCGGGTCTTAGTGTTTATAATACCCTCTTATATGTGGGATAGTCAGTGCCCTTGGTTGTTGGTTGAGAGTAAGCAATGGATTTCATGTAGAAATGAACAGAACTTGGGCACAGCATTCTTTTCTCTGAAACTTGCATGCCTACCATGGGCTTCATTTCCCTGGCCCGCAGTGGTCATCCAAAGTTTCTCATCTGTCATGGTTAATTCCACCCAAGAAGGGCATGAGGGAGTGAGAAGTATGGGCCAGAAGTCAATTCAAGCTCACAAATCAGTAGAGTACAGCTTAATTTGTAAAAGTACTTACAACATTTTTGTGCTTTTTCTTAATTTACTATAAAATGTTTAAATAGATTAAAATTTTTTTGATCTGGTTGATATATGTATGTAGAGATACATATAATGAGACTGGTGAAAAACATTTTTTCAGGAGCAAACAGGTCAGCTACTACTCTTCACATATCCTTTGGATGTTTTATTCTGAACGCAATAGTTACAACAACCTTCCGGAACAGAAACTGCTTTCTAAAACGCAAAGTTGGGAAGTGTAATATCATCTCATAAGGTGCCGGCCAAGGTTGCATGCCATCCCGTGCTGCTATCTCTGGCTTGGTTTGCATCATCTCCATGGTTGCTCTTATGCTTCATTCTCATTAGATAGTTGGGGCCAAGATCAGTGTTCTTGGGGTTAAGCTTAGTTCATGAAACGGTGCCCTTTTCATAAGCTTACCATCTGTTTAATTCTTCCTTCCTTCAATCCTTCCTTTTCTTCTTCAATTCTGTCTTCCTTCCTTCCTCATTTATTCATTCAATAAACAATTATTATCTGTCTACTGTGCACCAGATGCTGTTTAGGGCCTGGGGATACACAGGTGAACCTTTCGACAGCTTCTAGGTTTGTTGAAAAGACCTGGAGGTAATCAGATAAAGGTTGATGGGGAGACTAGAGTGATTATGAAAAGTCTAAGGACAGCAGTCAGGGGATGGAGAAGGAAGGGGGAAGCCTCAGAGAGTCTGACCTAGAAAAAAAAAGTCTGGGAATTAGCTAGATGAAGGCCAGGGCATGTGAGAATATAGTAAGAT